ACCGTGTACATTCCCATAGTTAATGGGTAATTTCAGCAGTATAACTCAGCTCAGACACTGCACCTGTCTGCAATGGTAGTCTTATTTTCTTACCCCATTCACTTACGGGCTGAGTTGACCAAATTAAGGTTTGTCCAGGATCTCAAAGAGATTCAATTAGCCTAGGCCTTTTTCCTGAGTAAAGACACTTCTCATGAAGAATTAGAGATGGAAACCACAGCCCAATCCTGCATTCAGCACTTCCGCTGAAGTCTTTTGAAAGCTTTGCCTGGATAAAGGCTGCAGGACGGGGCCTCAGAGGAATTTACAGTACACAGGATAGGTTTGAACTGGACTTGGAGGCAGGATTACAGCCTGTGTTGACATAACTGGGGCAGCTGTGGTATAGCTAGCTCAGGTACTGAAAATACTGTTGATTTGACCGTCTGTTTTCAAGAGTACAGCACATTGCCATGTCCTGGTTTTCAGCAGCATATTCAGGTGAATAAATGTTTTCCATCTGGGAGACTACCTCTGAATATACTGAAAAACCTCCTGGGACACAATGGACTAAGGTCGTTAAAGAAGAAATCAAATGTGATTGAGTAACTCAATTATCACACCTCTTCCTTTCTGAAAAGATATTGCAGCCATAGGGTAGAGGTCTAGAACTGCAGTAAGATTACTGTAAGATGCAGAAATGTATAGCATGACTGTTGAGTACATGTTTTCAATACAAAATCTCATGACTCCACCTTTTATTACTGTAAGTATGTTACCGCTGAATCGGTTGGCTCATTAAACTGAGTAACAAAGGAAAAACAATACTGTGTTTGAGAAATTATTTCCGAGTTATTGCACAGTTCTTCCCCTCTGCTCCATGTGTAAAAGAATGTCTTTATAAAAGAGCTTGTGTGTGAGTGCACACACACACACAGATTATTTTAGTTTTAGTTGAGTAAGTCTTGTCAATTAAGTGGAGCAGTCACAACCAACACAGAACCAAGAGCTGGAGGTTACCTCTAGACTGGATTATGATCATGGGTGGGTATAACTTGTTCAGTAAGGAAAGGCAAGGGATAAAGGAAGCAGTGTCACTTATTTTATTCAAGTGATACAGTTATCTGGAGGTACAGAACAAAGAGGGAGGTAAACTTGTTGAAAGTTTTCGGGTTAAGGTAATGGGAGAAAACATCAAGAGTGATGTTCTGATAGGCATCTACTATTAACCACCACACCAGGAAAGGAAGTGGATGGAGTGTTTGGTTTTTTTTTTTTAACTTACCACAGTACCCAAATTGCTTGATACTTGTGAGGAACTTTAATTACCATGCTATCTTCCAGGAGGGTAACAGTCAACAGGTCATCCAGAGAGGTCCTGGATTGTGTTGGGACCAGCTAAAGTACAGGTGGCAGAGAAATAGCTCTTCTTGATTTGCTTTTTACCAATAGGCAGGAATTGACTAAGAATTTCAGGCTAGAAGGCAACATAAAGGCAGAGCAACAGAAGTAATTAGAGGCATGGAGAACATGACCCACAAGAAAAGACTGGAGGATCTAGCATAAGTTAGCCTGCTAAAGAGAAGAGAGACAATTTGATAAAATTCTTCCAGTACAAAAGGACTGTTACAGAGAGGACGGTGATCAACTATACTCCATGTTTATAGAGGATAAGGAAAGCAGTAATAAGCTTAAGATGCAATAGTTTATGTAGGCTGGATATTAGGAAGAGTTTTCTATCGCTAGGTATGGTTACACACTGGACCCAGTAATTTGGGTGGTTGTGGACTTTAAGTGCTGGTGAGAAACGCTTGGCTGGAATGATTTAGACAAGGAGATTCCTGTCCTGAGCAAAGGATTGAACTAGATGGCCTGTAGAAGCCCCTTCTAGTCTTATGTTTCATGATTGCATTCAGTTAAATTCTGGGTGCCAAACTCATTTGATACAGGATATATTACAGTAATAGCAAAGGCCATAAGACAGCCTAGGGTATGCCCCAGCCTCCATCCCCAGCAGACACTCTACAGAGGCAACAAGAGAGATACACAAAGGGTATGATTCATTGCTATGAATGTACTAAGCTTCCTGGGAAGGCAGGTAGACAAAATGGTTTTATACCATACCTCAAGGACTACCTAGGGTGTTTTCTCTTGCCTCTGACTGCTTAGGACCATGTGACAGGAGATGCACTCAGGACTGGGTCTCATACCCAGGACCAGGAGCCTCCTGCTCTTACACACAAGATATTTCATGTAGCCTTTTAACCAGGTTATGCTTCTACCTGAACCACCAGCAGCAAACTGCTGGATTTATATAGACAGCCAGTGTTTTAAAATGGCTGTGGCAATCAAGCACCTGATGGCTGCTTGACTCAGCCCTTAAAGCGGCAGGCACCACAACTGCACTGCCACAGACCACTTCAGCCATCAGACAGTCCTCAGCAGGACCAGAGCTGGGAGCTGCTGGGAACATAGTGTTGTTACAGGACTGGTATGACAACGTGGGGAAAGTCCTAGTAGCAGTTACAGGGCTTTATTGTCACAGTGACAGCAGATCAAAAGTATTAGGCCATGTGAACAGCCCTTTATTTTTAAGCTGGCACCCTGAATTCCTTCAGCATCCACATTTGTGGGATAGGCTGAGAACTAGACAGCTCGGTGCAAATACATCAAAGGGAACTTTGTTCTCACTGTGGCAGTGCGCTTCCGGTGCCTGCTGCTTTAAGGGCTGAGTCAAGCAGCCAGCAGGTGCTTGATTGCCGCAGCCATTTTAAAACACTGGCTGCTTATACAAGCACAGCAGTTGGCTCCTGGCAGCCTAGGTAGAAACATCATATGGGTGGGAAGGCTGGCAGGGGGTTGGGCTAGAAGATCTACTAGGTCCCTTCCAACCCTAAATCTATGAAACTATGAAGTATCTTGTAGGTTAGTGTAGGAGGCTTTTGGTTTTAGGTATGACCCAAAATAGCTTGGTGGGGCTAGGCTAGTTACTACCCTGGTGAAGAGTGAGTGGGGATGCTTTAATAATCCCAGCTCCCATGACTAGGTGGGTAACCCTGTAATAGGGTCCAGGAAGGTGGACCCATGTAAGAATGTGGGCTAGGTGCTCAGAAACCTGACTTGAGGCACCCTTGACTGGTCAATGGTGGGGTTAGGGTCAGAAAGGTCAAAGGGCCAGGTGCCTGCTGCAAGAGATGCCCAGAGCTGGGGGCCTGGGGTTCTGACTCCTCTTGGAGGTGAGGCCAGGGCCTGTGTGGCCAAGGGTCCTGGGGGGGCACACCTGAGAGCAGGAAGAGTACGGGGAGCTAGGCAGCCCAGAATGAGGGTGGAGTAGGCTGCCTGATTGGAGGGATCCAGTTAAGGTCTGGACTGGAGGATTGTGGGGCTGGTGATGCTAAGAACTGATCCCATCTGCAAGGCACAGGCTGTGGTATAGGAGAGGTTTGGAGCTACAGATGGCCCCCGCCGGCATTGGGGAATGTAATGGGCAGTCTCCTGCATCTTCCACCAGGTTATGGGACCAGCAAAGTCATGGCAGATGAGAAGGGATAGACTGCCCTATAGAGATAGGTGGATGGGCCGGTATGAGATCTGGCCCTGAGCGCCCCTGTCGCACTCAGGAACAATCTTTTCTATTCCGTCCCTAGAAGGAAATACCAACTGCTGAACCTGCAGCATTGTTACTTCCCAATGGGGTTGCCAAAGGTGTGTGCTGGTACTATTAGTTAGTGCCCTGCATATTATGACTTCAGTGGTAAATGGGCAGTGAACCGGCTGATTGCATTAAAAAATGGTCTGTCACACAGCAGCTGCATTGTTGAATGATGAGGGTTTCCTGTTGCAAAGGCTTCATAGCAGCAGACATGGAAATGATATGCAAACAACTGCTGCTTGATTAATACATATACTACACCTGTTATTTTAAAGTGACCATCATGGTATAAAAACACAACAATTCCAGAGCTATACTGATTTACATCAGATAGAAATCTGGCTCTTCAGTTAATTTTTTTTCCTCTTCCCACCCCACCCCATCCCCTGTGGCTTTCCTCCCTCCTTAAAAATAATTTTCTTTGGCTCCTCCAGAGCACAATACAATGAAAAGATTCCATTGGGGGTATATTATAACACTTACAGTACACCCCCTGAGGGGACATCAGTCCTCCTTCAGGCCATAAGATTCAAGTAATGACCCATAGCTAAAGTGAATTTTTGTTTAATTCTCCACCCCTTGCAGATGGCTTCCTGATGGAAATTGATTCCTAGCAGTTTTTCTTTTCATTTTACATGCATGTCTAATGCCCTTATTTAGTTGCATCTTTCCCTGATTTGGCTAAAGGGGAGGAGGGGGCAGCGTCGAAAGCATCTGGCTACAGAATGCTCTGATGTAAAATACTGTGCTGATTAAAACTGTAGACACATCCCTATCCACGCAGCCTGCTCTTTCTCCCTCACTTGTGTGCGCTGTTCCCTATAAAAGAAACACATGTTTGGAGCCAGATCCCTAACTGAAGTGCAATAAATCCATGTTGTCCTGTTGACTTCCATAGAGTTACTCCAATTTACACCAGCTGAGGAGCTGATAATCAATCTCTTTCATGAATACTATGGTGCACAAATACACCGCCTTAAACACAGGTGTCACATTTAGCACACTTGCATACAAACACACACTCTTGCTCACCCCAACAGTTCACACCCAGATAGATGTGATTTGCACGACTGAACACTCAACATACACCCCATCAAATACGACATGCTCACAGCCATGGACACAAAAGCAACACTCTCCTCCCATGACCCACAGAGAGGTTTTCCTGGCGCATCGAGCGGAGAGGTAGAGCTTCACATACTGCTGTGTGTTTAGATTTGACAAACTGGATCAGCCTTCTTCATCCCGTTACACAAATACTAGCAGAAGAATTTTCTGTCACTTATTGCAGACCGGGCTCCATTGTGTAATCTAACACACACACATACATAGGCACACACGCCCCTTTCTTTGCTATTTAGGCATAACTCAGCCTGATAATTTCTTCAGTATGTGGAAGCAGCAGCAGAGACAGACGGTGCACTGAGGCAACCTTTAATTTATTTGTGTTTCCCTTGAAAGGGCAGGAGTTTAACTACGAGACGGTAAGTGAAGACTGCCAATACCTATAGCTCTTTCTTGTTCGCTTCACCAACTATTTACATGTTTACATGTTACGATAGTGAGAAGACAATTTCACCCCTTAGTTAATTCTGCTGGCTAGCAGCTTGTATTTACAAACAGTGCCTCCCCCACATTTTTTCTTTTTTCGACAGATCCCTAGTTGTCATGTCTTATTGTAGTGTGTGCCCTTCCCTAGTTCTAAAGCAGGCTTGACCCCCTTGCTACGTGCAAGATAGATTTTTCTGGTCCCAAAGATGCTTCAACAGTGCCATACACTATCTGGTCTTTTGTTTAAGATAATGTCTCTGTGTATTTATTCCTTATTAATGCATAGGTGGATTTGTAGTTCTGCTAGGCTGGCTTCCTAAAGATGAGTCTCTTCTTGCATGATGACAATAATAATTAAGGTGGACTTCAATGCAGTGTCCTTGGTAGTTCTGGATAAAAATCCTAAACAGAAAAGGTCAGTTCCCTTCTTGTGATCTGTGTTTCTCCAGCAAGAATAACAGGGTATTTTTTTTTCTGAAAAAAGATGTATTCTGAATCCCCTCTTCCTTACATTGCCAAATACAGCGAACCTTCCTGAAGGCTTTTGCTCACACTTCTGCAGTGAGGAGAACATTGTTTTACTGCCAGGAAGAAAATCCCACATGCTGTCTCAGATGAATGCTATTTAATTTTTTTTTATGAATAGATCTTAAGAGAGAGTTGAGACTGAACAGGGATGTATCACACTGTCTACAAAGTAGAGAAGTACAGTGAGTACAGGGGACATGCAATGGACAGTACTACTACCTGTAAAATGTGGGACTAAAAGGTAAAGGAGACTGAGAAAGAGATTGAGACTAATCATCCTTTGGTCCTGTGCAAAGCTCAGGAAGAGAATCATTGTCTGGCCCTGAACAAGTTGATTGCTCTGTGCTTCGCTTTATACAGCTGTGAAATGGGGATGATAATAATATCAGTGTGCATCCCCAGACGGCTGTACGAATTAAATAATCTTCCGATTAAAAACGCTTTTTCAGTGCAGACTTCATTCACAATGTAAATCTATAGTGAGGGGTTAACGGAAGCAAGAAAGGAAGGGGGTGTTCTGACAGACTGTGAGCCAGACCATTCCTATTACAAGTAGCAAGCAGAAAAGAGATAACAGCTCCACTGCCAGGTCTAGTGCTGCATGTAATACATGGGAATTTTAGTGCTTTCTGAAACCATGGCACTTGGAAAACACTGAGAAAAGTAACTTCTGCCCCACTGTCTGATGATGGTTCTATACAGCCATGTTGGGTAAACCAAGTCATAATTAAACTGCAGAGACCAGGGAAATACCTGTGTATGGGGGCAGAATGAGGAGGGCAAACAGTTTTTTTAAGAAGATCAAAGGGAAAATATCAGTTTGTTATAAGACATTATTATCCCTCTCTTACAGATAGGGAAATGGAAAGCATGGAAGGGTTAAACGTCTTCATCGGGAGTCAGTGCCAGAGCTGGGGAAGACAGGCAAGGAATCCCAATTCTCAGTCCCCTATTCTAGCAACAAGGGTACTCCTTCACACAGTTTGATCTAATAAGAGGGAAGTTCCCCTCCCACATAATAATACTTGGAACTTTTTATCTGAGGTTCATAAAGCACCTTGTGAAGCTGTGCTTATATAACCATCCCAAATGACAGATCAGAAAACAGAGGCACAGAGAGATGAAGCAAATTGCCCAGGACCACATGAGTCAGCGGCAGAGCTGGAAATGGAACCCTAGCTATTCATTCTCTGCCTTAGCCACTATAAAGGGATGCTGAGTAATTTGACTAAATGAAGACTTTAAAGTAAATATTATCCATTGTCAATGATACTCAACTACTGCTTTTCAGTGACAAGAGACCGGGACGAACCAAAGCTTATCTCCTTCCAGTCCGGAAGGATGTGGTCTCATGTTGTTGGCTTTTCCATCTTCCCTCATATCGGGGGATTTCTCGGCTGGTTCTTCAACCGCAATTCAGTGCCTACTTGGTATGAAAATCTGAAGAAACCCTCTTGGTGCCCATCCAACCAGATGTTCCCCATTGCTTGGACACTCTTGTACACAGGAATTGGGTAAGATCCTGGGGTAAGAAGATTCTGTGTCCCAATCCTCCCCTGCTTCTCCAGCACTTCACCCCTAGGGGATATGCTACTTCATTGCTCGCTTTTGGGGATTTCCTTCTCCAGTACCAATGGGAAATGGAAGGTATGTTTTTTAGAAGCTGGACTCAGCACCCTACTGTGCCTTGAGTCCAGTTCAACCCATTCAGTCCACTTAACACCTTTACGGCCAGGGACTTAATCTATTCTGGCTTTATGTTGCACTCAGGATCATGATGATTGGGCACATCTAACACTTTGCCCTAGAGTGACGTTGTTATTGCACCATGCTTTAGTACTTGCTTTTGGAAGTACTAAAGCATGGCACAATAACTGCCAGTACTACACCGTACATGCAGTGCATTGTTATTTTTAGCAGCTACTTCACCGTAGCAGTGTGTTACAAAGGGGGAGCACGCTGCTATGGTGAAGTAGCTGCTGGTCACGTGTAGACACCCATGGATGCACCCTTAGAGTTGGGACTCAGATCAGGGCTACTTTGTGCTCTTACTACTGTAAGAGAGAGGCTCTGCCCTGAAGAGCAGGTAGTCTAACTATGCAAGACAACCTGTGCCTGTGAGATGAACCAGAGACACGGACGTGGCTGTCCCAGTGTCTCCCTGGTATAACCCTGTATAGGAGCCACTTTTGCCCAAGTGCGGTATGTTTGCATTGGGGTTTACATCAGTGCATTTACACTGATGCACCCTTGTTAAGACAAGCCCCAGGCGCTGCCTTCAGCTGGGGGAGAATCCATGCTTGATACTACGTTGTGGTCAGAGGATACTATGGAGCAGAAGTTGATGACTCCTGGTAGATTCATGCCTGATCCAACTGTATCAGGGAGAGGCGGCAAATGGGATATCAAAATATTAACTGAAATTTTCTCCTTCACAGCTATGGCTCATTCCTGATATGGAAGGATGTAGGTGGCTTCAACAGCAATGCCATCATCCCACTAGGCCTCTTTGGGGCTCAGCTCGCTTTGAACTGGGCATGGCCTCCCTTGTTCTTTGGCATGCATAATCTCAGACTGGTAAGATGGCCATGTCTTTGCTGATTAGCTACAGGCTTGTGTTGCTTGTGTCCCTGCCAGCTGCCTGGGACCTTTAAGAGGATCCACAACTAGCACCATCAAGTGCTACATCCTGTACTGAGTTTAAGGGGCAAGTCAGCAGCCTTGCTCAGCTTCTCTTCATGTTGCACCGGGTTCCAGCCTGTAGTATCAGTCCCTGAGCTGCATTTGTGCTTCAGATATTTGGCAGTAGCCAAGGAAGGCGGGAGATTATGGAGCTTCTGGCTTCTGCACCTTCCAGTTAAGAACAGAAGTTGGAGATAAACTTTTGGAGCGACACACCCGGCCCAGTAAGAGGCAGCGAGAGTTGCTTCAAAAGGACATGTTATTCATGCGCTTATCAGGCAGCAAAGTACTCTGCCATTAGAAAAGCCCATAGTAGGGTGTGTCCTGGACTAGGGTAAGGTAGAGTGAAGCAGAGGATCAGCACAGGGAGGAAGGGAGAGAGCCCCTTCTGCGACATTCATGTAGCAAACTATGCCAGGTATCCAGAAGCTGCTGATCATTAATCCGTTCTAGAAATGCCACCCCTTCTGCTTCTCCTGCCCGGAGTGACTGCTAACTTGTCAGTTACTTTGGGGCAGCAGAGTGGAGTCTCAAGGGGTTACCTGATAGCTGGTGTAGGGGCTTGGGTGCTCATAGGATTATGGAGTAGGGCTCACATGTTTTCCTTTGGCATCACACTGCACAGCAAGGAGCCTGGCTTGCTGTAGGCTTCAGCTGCGAAGTTTAGATCCAGATCCAGTGGGTGCCAAAGCTAGGGTTTTGGTTTAACCAAAGGCCTTGAGTTAATCTGCAGTGCTTTGTGCCTCCTGCTGCTCATACTGTCCTCAGTAAGAGCTACTATTATGCTACATAGGGATGTGTGACCCCATAGAGCTAGTTTCCAGTGAAAAATGCTTCAGTTATTGTCTTTTCTCTCTTGTCCAGGCTCTGCTGGACATCCTGTGCCTGGATGGCTTAGTGGTAGCTACCATGTACTCTTGGTACCCCATTAACAAGTTGGCAACAATGCTGATGGTGCCTTACCTGGCTTGGCTGGCCATGGCTACTTGTCTCACCTACGTCATCTGGATGGATAACCCTGGGAAGAAACCAAGAAAGAAAGAATAAGAGATGGAAGTTGTGCAAGTGAAGTCATTCTGTCATTCATCCTGAAGTGGGGAATCAAGATCTGATCACTTGAAGTCTATTAGTTTTCAGATAGTATGCCTGTGCGAAGCGGCTAGTGTTCGCCTCAGATTCAGATTCGGCCGATTCAGGGGACAGTGATTCGATTTGGTGATTCGAATCAGTGTCCCGATTCAATTCGGCTGAATCTGATTCGGAGATTTGGCTGCTGTTGAATCTCCAAATCAGCCAGGCCAGGCCCATCCCCTGCCCCTCTCCCAGCCCGGCACTGGCTCTCCCTGCCCACCCCAGCTCCTGGCACTTGTTAAAAAAAAAAAAGCCCAGCTCACCAGGTGCTGCTGGGCGGGTGGCGATCCCCACTGCCCCATGCTGCATAGGGGGCTCTGCACAAGCCCCCTAGGCCCCCCCGTGGGTGTCCTGCCTGGGCCAGCTCCAGCCCTTTAAGAAAAAAACCCCCAAACCCCTCTCTCCAGACTCACCGCTCCTGCCAGTAGGGGGGGTGGCGATTTCCGCAGCCCTCCACATTGCCCCGTACCACGTGGGGGGATCTGCACAAGTTCCCTGAAGCCAAGAGTGGTGTGTCCCGGGGGGGTTCTCAGCTTTTTTT